TGTAATAATGGGTTATCAGAACGTGAAGCTATTGTAATATCAGTTATCAGAACGTGAAGCTATTGTAATATCAGTTATCAGAACGTGAAGTTATTGTAATATGTGTCATCAGAACGTGAAGCTATTGTAATATGTTCATCAGAACGTGAAGCTATTGTAATATGGGTTATCAGAACGTGAAGCTATTGTAATATGAGTTATCAGAACGTGAAGTTATTGTAATATGGGTTATCAGAACGTGAAGTTATTGTAATATTGATCATTAGAATATTTTAAATCAAATAGTTTGCGATAAAAATGTAATTGATGCCTACGTTCGGAATAGTTTTAAAATCATTGAAACGTGTAGAAAAGGAATAATATTTAGTTACATCCTTATGAATCATTGTTGTGACGACAGATGTTCATTAATTTTCATCAGCTCAGCTAAACCAATGGTAGGTGTTCATTAATTTTCACCAGCACAGCTAAACCAATGGTAGGTGTTCATTAATTTTTCCCCAGCTCAGCTAAACCAATGGTAGGTGTTCATTACAGTTGCATCAGCTCAGCTAAACCAATGACAGCTGTTAATTAATGTTGCTTCAGCTCAATTAAACCAATGACAGCTGTTAATTTATGTTGCGTCAGCTCAATTAAACCAATGACAGGTGTTCATTAATGTTGCGTCAGCTCAATTAAACCAATGAGAGGTGTTCATTACTTATGAATCAGCTCAGCTAAGCCAATGAGAGGTGTCCACTGTTGCTTAGGTTCGTTTTACATAACGGGTAACTTTAATATTTCTTGGGTTTATGATAGGGTGAGGCATGGTTAGTGTGCCAGACTGTGGATCCGAGGGTCCATTGTTCTCGTCTCTTGTCGCAAAATCGCGCTTTGCCCTTTGGGGCCACGGGTGCGTTATAAGAGTGACATTATTCGATTACAGTAGCTCAAGAACTGGCGATGAATGATGTTGACTAGTTGCCTGCTCTCTAGTCTGTCAGTTTAAAATTAGCATGGCTAGCGCAGACAAGGAAAGAACAGTTTAAGATGTGATTACTAACTTCTGTCCAACTGTAAAGATGCAACAAAAAATGGGTTAATAAACTTGTGCTTAATATCCCATGAAATGTATATTGTTTTAGTGTTTATGTTCCTTCATACCCTTCTCTTAAACTTAATGTAACAACACACTCAACTTTCTGAGGGGTTATCAATATGTGATAGATACACGTCTGTGGATCATTATATTCTTCTTTATATCTATGTTTAGTACAACGAGACGCGTTTAGTGGTCAACCGTTAAAAGTAGAGGACATATTTAATCATCTACTGTCTATTAATGTTGAAAATAACGCTACAATATTCCTCAACTTACTCCAAAAAGCAAAATGCTCCACGTCAGTTCCTTCTGGATCTTCCCAATCCTTGCACGTGACAAAAAACCTGTCTATCAAAGCTTTTCCATCAGTATTATCCACTTGGCAGGTGCCGCCCTCTGGTGGTTTATTGATATGAAGAAACAAGTCTGCTATACCCGCATATCCATCCTCGTTCGTGACTGTTAGCTTGGCTATGAAATCTCCATACGTCGGGTAGTAGATTTTAAAGAAATCGTCGCTGAGGGCCATTTTCTGCTCATTCACACCTAACATAAGGACAACAAAGAATAACATGGTGGACTCGGTCTTTAGATCCACTCCAATTACAAGGCTTAACACTGTGTATGAGAATACGTTATGTACGTTATAAATTTAGATTCAAATTTAACAATACACTTGAAAACATCATTTTCAGAACAAACAACTATAGGTAGTTTCCATAGTTACACACACACACACACATATATATTATACATTACCCATTACGATGTTTCCATAGTTACACACATATATATATTATACATTACCCATTACGATGATGTTTCCCAGATCAACCAGCGTCTACGTAACAATATGTACCAGATACTGACACCTTTATTCGTTGATGTTGCTGTGTTGACTAACGTGATAAATGTGCTACAGAGACAAGATGTTGCTGTGTTGACTAATGTGATAAACTTGCTACAGAGACAAGATGTTGCTGTGTTCATTAACGTGATAAATGTGCTACAGGGAAAAGATGTTGCTGTGTTGACTAACATGATAAATGTGCTACAGAGACAAGATGTTGCTGTGTTGACTAACGTGATAAACTTGCTACAGAGACAAGATATTGCTGTGTTCATTAACGTGATAAAGTTGTTAGATAACGTGAGGATTGTCACATTAAAGGAGTTGTTTCCGGAATAAAATATCCCATTGTAAAAGCTGACGCGTTAACAATCAAATATTAACACTCAGCAAAGATGGCATTAGTGTGACTTCTGATTTTGAGGGGTGGAAGGTGGGATGATGGGCTCTTATTAATATATTAGCACTCTTATTTTTGAATCCGAACTATTTTGGAAGAACTTCTCTGTCGTATACTAGAACATTTTATCCAAATGTACAAACTTATTGCGAACTTATATTTTATTTGTGTTTGAAAAGTCATTCTTTGAGGTTTTTGTTCACGATCTTGTCTCTGTAGCAAGTTTATCACGTTAATGAACACAACAACATCTTGTCTCTGTAGCAAGTTTATCACGTTAATGAACACAGCAACATCTTGTCTCTGTAGCAAGTTTATCACAGCAACATCTTGTCTCTGTAGCAAGTTTATCACGTTAGAAACAAGATGTTGCTGTGAGTTGCTAGCATCAACAGGATCATCCACGAGATCAAGTGTCTCAAGACAATATGTACGACATCTTTAGGATAATGATGGAACTTTGTGGTGACATAGGTGAGATAGGAGATATCAAGGATATTCTTGTGGATTAAAGATGACTGAAAGTGTATGTCAAGTATATCCTTGTGGATAAAGATCACTCAAGTGTATATCCAGAATATCTTTGTGGTTTCAAGATGACTGAAAGTATATCAAGGATATCTTTGTAGATCAAAGGTGACTCAAGTGTATATCCAGGATATCCTTGAGGTTCAGAGATGACTGAAGGTGTTGTGGTGGTTGGAATGTTTCTTGACCTACTCTTTACGTGTGTACTGTTTACTTTAGGTGCGATATTCCAAATTTTATTGCTTACGCCCAATCATTACCTTGGGGCAAGACTTGTTTTCCATCCACGACGTACCCACCTACTTAGGGTCAAAGGTCGTTCCACTTACATATAATACATTTATTATAGACGACTGAATACCACAACGTGACCTTTAGTTAACCCGAATCACACTACATAACATTTTCTAACGAATCAGCTTTTTCTTTAAGTTTGTATTTGTTGTTAACGGCACAGCTGTTATTGCACGTTTCATATTATCGTTCATTTCTGATTGTAATCACTTTATTTGCTATACTGATCAGTCCTTAGCTTGAGTAAATATGATAAAATGTATTTCCTTACCCACTATGTATTCTCTAGCCTCAGGTAAATGAGTTTCAGTTGAGTTATTGACCCCATACATTTCCCACTCGAACACCAGAGCTCCATCACAGTCTTCACTACAAAGTCCTACCAGGCCTACACGTACTGGGTTAATCTTCTGACCAATTGGCTCGAACGGATAGCAAAGAGTCGGAGTTTGACATCTGTAGTTAGGTGTTTAATTATAAAAATTGGTAAAAAAAGGAAAATAAAGATTAACAGAGATATCGAGGAAGAATTACAACTTGATGGAAAGTTTCTGAAAAAACATGAAATGCAAATTTATAATGAGATTTTCATCAACCATAGTTAAGTTCAGGTGTAAACTCTTACAGTTAAACTCTCCTCAACCATAACTAACTTCAGGTGTAAACTCTTACAGTTAGACTCTTCTTAACCATAACTAACTTCAGGTGTAAACTATTACATTTAGACTCTCCTCATCTATAGCTAACTTCAGGTGTAAACTCTTACAGTTAGACTCTTCTTAACCATAACTAACTTCAGGTGTAAACTATTACATTTAGACTCTCCTCAACCATAACTAACTTCAGTGTAAACTCTTACAGTTAGACTCTTCTTAACCATAGAGTTTACACCTGAAGTTAGCTATGGTTGAGGAGAGTCTAACTGTAAGAGTTTACACCTGAAGTTAGCTTACAGTTAGACTCTCCTCGGCTATAACTAACCTTAAATCAATATAAAAGTATCTTAAAGATATTTTCTGTGAGAAACAATCTACCGAATTAACATAACACTTTTTATTTTCTCACTTTGTGTGTTATAATTCACTTCGTATGGTCAGTTCAATTTGTGTTCTGTATTTTTCTTTACAGTCCATATGAAGGCAGTAAACTTGTTAAAATTGGTTACAATAACCGATATTCGTTAAAATAATAGTTTAATCCTCCATATCTGTTGGTTTAACTTATAACTTAGATTAAAGTACAAGATAGAATCACACCTCACACTGACAGCAGGAGGCGTAGTACTCAATAACACAACTTGTATTGCACCCCAAGATGGCCGTCTGTCTGGTTTTTCTATCTTTGCAACAATTTCATAGATGGCGTTAGGAACTCGGAATACTGTCGTTTTCCACTCAAACGACCCACCTACGACATCGATACGTCCTGAGGAAACAGTTGGGACAATTTAAAGTTAATAAAAGAAGCCTAACGAAGTAGTTATAATATGAAGTTTACAAGCTGACGAAGGGTGACTATAACTGATTACACGAAACATAAACTATTAGTATTAGGCCTATTATAATTTAAAATATTACGTTCTTTATCTGGTCCCTTGGGACTAATTCTAGTGCCTCTTGTCAAGCATAATTAATTCTCATCTGAAACCTTTTTTTTTATCAAAACACTTCCCATGATGCCTCAAATAAACAATACTATTCTAAGGCTTTCACTCGTGTCTTTAAGTTGGAAGGACTAATTCCCCTTATTAGTGGGATATATTCATATCAAACTATGATATTCATCCCAACCCACACGTTTTGAATAATATTAGTGGGAATATATTCATATCAAGCTATGATATTCATCCCAACCCACACGTTTTGAATAATATTAGTGGGAATATATTCATATCAAACTATGATACACGTCCATCAAAACCCA